TAGGCCAAGGTAGGAGATCCACAACATAAAGGAAACATCTCCAAGTATACATCTTTGGACAAGCCAGGCTCTTCCCCATGATTCCCTGCCTTCTCCCTGTTTTGCTCCAGGCTCCAGCTTCTGACGTTGGGGAGCCTCTGCTGGAGAGCATGGTCTCCAGGAATAGATTTGGGTGTAGCTGCTTCCAGTCAGGCCCAAGGAATATTAAAAATAATGTACATATTTGGCACCATTTAGGATCATTATGAATCATGAGTTTTGTAACTGACTCTAGTGGAATGTGGAAAGGCATCCAATGTGGCCAGACCTGGCATCAGTTCAAAATCAGAGCACGAGTAGAAGAGGCTGGAAAAAGATCAACCGTTTGGCATGTAGCAGTTTGCCCAACATACTGGTGGTAGCATCTGGTGGTATCCAGTGTATGTGTGAACGACCCATGAAAGATTCTTTTGTTCCAGATAGGAATCTCATCCATCATCAAGCCAAAGATATTACTGTTTAATAGGAATAATGAATTCATTTTGCTGAGAGTCACAAAGTACTATGTACTGTAAGTGGTAAGAACTCAAGCAATGCCGATGCATGTTTGAAACAGCTCTAAATCTTGGTACAAATGAGGTGTACAATCGAGTGGTCTGACAGAAATGGCCAGCCTGTGTCCCTGTTGATGGTCTTAAAGCATAACTCCCACCAGCATTACTGGGTCAAAGGATGACAGGAGTTGAAGTCCTACATGGGCTAGAGGGTCATACCTTGCCCACATCTGTCTTACACAGGGAAACTGCTTCTGAGTCTTCTGTAGTGAACTAAACAAGGCAGATAAAGATTGGAGACCCCAAATCTTCTCCATTCAGATCATAATGATTCTGCTGGCAGACAAGGGTTTCCAATCCTTTCTTAGCAGTCCAATGGACCCTCAGATGCTGCCACCGAGTTTTGGTGCTGAGCAGTTCTGAAGTCCAATAAAAAATGAATATGTGCACAACCATATATTTCAAGGCCATGATAAAGAGTTTTACATGAATCATAAGCTTGTGGGAGCAAATGCTGCTGTTGCATTTCCTAAAATCCCACAACCCTTATTCCTACTATAAGTAGTTACAGTTAAGTTCTATTTGGGTTTAAGTTAGCAGCAAAAACTTCTCTCATTCAACTTATCTCAACCATCTTTAGTCCTTTGTTGTGTTTTAATCAGATAGGTTCAGAGCAGTACATGATTCTTATTCTCCTTTGTGTTACTCTCACAACAACCTTTGTGTAGCAGGTTAGGCTCAGAGACAGTGACTGGCCCGAGCAGCTGAGGATGACCAGGAATTAGGTATCATGTTTCCTCGTTCTTTGGATACTTCTATTTTGATTAGTTTTAATTCATTCTATTTTAATTAAGGGTCTTAATTGCACAACTGCCCCCCTTCACCGATGATGTTTTATGCTGAGCATCTATTTGTAACTCTCCTCTCCTTTCCGATTATGTAATTTCATTTATTTTCCTACCATAGAACAACCATTTAGAGGGGAAGACAGAATAACCACACATGTTCTGACTGGTAACACTAAGAGCCCATTTGCCTGGAAGTACTTAGGGACGTGGTGGCGCTGCGGGCTAAATCACAGAAGCCTGTGCTGCAGGGTCAGAAGACCAGCAGTCGTAAGTTCGAATCCACACGATGGAAGGAGCACCCGTTGCCTGTCCCAGCTCCCGCCAACCTAGCGGCTCGAAAGCATGCAAATGCAAGTAGATAAATAGGGACCACCTCGGTGGGAAGGTAAACAGCGTTCCGTGTCTAAATCACACTGGCCATGTGACCACGGAAAGATTGTCTTCGGACAAAACGCTGGCTCTATGGCTTGAAGAGCGGGATGAGCGCCGCCCCCTAGAGTCAGACACGACTGGACAAAAATTGTCAAGGGGAACCTTTACCTTTACCTTTACTTCGGGATCAGCATTCTTAACAACTATTCTAAATTGGCTCTAGCTATAGTTGGGTCACATCCATGGCTGCTTCTCTGGTGTTTTTTAATGGGAAATAAAAATTATATTGAAGAAACAGGGTAGCTATTATACGTATTCATTCTGAGAACAGATGTGTTGCAAATAAATCCATGAAAGTCCTATGATGCAATGAACTTGCAAATATGAAGATAAGGTTGAATTCCACAAAAGACCATTGATATATTTTCAACTACTAATTTTTTTAGAGTTTAACTTGTCCCAGGGTTCTCATGTTTGGCATGAACGTTTGAAGAAATATTCAGCCAAAGTAAGAAAGGGAAATGTTGAAAAATGACAAAATTTGAAGAGATTATTTTAAAAAGGACTGAAAATTAGAGGAAAAGACAGAAAGAAAGGGAACTGGAAGTCAAATATATAAATTATTAATTTGGGCCGAACAGGACACACAAGGATTATAAGCACAGTGGCAACACGATTTGGATAAAGAAGTATTAGGAAAAGAATGGGATAAATGTGGGATCAAAGAATTATGAAAAACATGTCTGTAAGGATAAAAGAAAATTGTTACAAGGTAATATGGAGGTGGTATTTAACGCCGGTAAAACTGAATATAATAAATAAAAATGTATCATCACTATGTTGGAGGTGTAACAAAGAGAAGGGGATGTATTTACATATGTGGTGGTTATGTGAAATAAGAAAGGGAGAATGGAAGGAAATCTTTAAAGAAATAGGGGAAATAACAGGATTAAACAGACATGGATTGCTTGTCAAAAATAATGTTTTTATATGATTGTTCTCCCCCATTTTTATATCTCTCCTACACAACTGGGAGAATGTCTGCTAGTGCATATCATTACAGAAATAGCACTAGATGGCATCTGTTTGTCTAATTGGTTTAACTGATCATTTCTCTTGTTTTGAAGAGTGCATTGGAGTTCTTGTCTTTGCAAAGTTAGGTTTTTAATTGAATGCCTCTTCAAATGTCTAAAGTGAGTTCAGAGATACACATTAAAACACTGTCATGGGTGAGCTGACAATGAGGCAGAAGGAAGCTTCTGCTTCAGGATGAAAATTAGGACATGAGTTAATGAGTGACACTGTGAGGGGGTCCCAGGGAACTCCCATGTAAGGCTGACCCCCATTCCTACAAGGTCCATCATCCCCAGGGCAGGTATCTCAACCTCTTTATTCCTGGATAGTGGCCACACCACTGACTGTGAAGTTGACAACCCTGCCAGAGGCACCTATGGAGGTGGAGGATGAGGAAACTATGAGGGGACTCACCCTGAAGGTTCAAAAAGTGAGTAACTTTATAGAATGAACAAGACACAAGGGGGGGACTCACCCTGAAGGTTCAAAAGGTGAGTACGTAACTTTATAGAATGAACAAGACACAAGGCTTGGAAAGATCTGGAAGAGAGGAGAGAGACTCCAAAAAATATAAAAGTGGGGGGAGGGAAACAGAAAAGTAAAGGAGGACTAGTGGCTGTTGAGGAGGAGGAGAAGGAAGTAGGGGAAGATGGTGGCAGAGAGCTGGATGGAGGCACTGGAGACGATTCAGCCTGAACCATCAAAAGAGGCTCTGTGACCCCTGCATTTCAGCTGGCCAGGAGATGCTATTGCACAGAGAAGGTGCCAGCAGCTACTCCAACACAGCTGTGAAGGTGGAGGAGGCGGAGAGAGTTCAGT